ATCCTGTTTAGACGACACTTTCGGGTGATCAGCATGAACTGATGTGAACGGAACACTGAACATGGATATTACCAAGAGGGGTTATGTACTCTTGATATTACGGTGAAGCCTAACAATTTGTGGCATTTAACATACAGAAAATGATGCTGATTTTCATACATGTATTATAACATTATGGGAGTATCGCAGTGAATCTTCAAAGCACTAGGTGGTCTGCACTCTACAATGTGACCTGTGCGATTAGATCGGTAAATAATGTCTGCCTGTTCCGAGCCACCAATCGCACCAAAGAACAAGGAGCAGCAAAATAGAAAACAGACTACATGTATGTCCAGTATTATACCCACATCATGGTAAATAGCCGTACCCGGAACATTGAGATAATTATAACGTTACCGTAAAAGCCCGTGTATAGGTCCCGGGTGTATATAATAGCAGGCTCGATTTCCTGGGCGTATGCAAGGGCACGTGCGTTATTTTGGAACCGGGTGTATACTTTAATAGAATTAAAATATTGAAACTCTTCTCTTACTCAATGGCTGGATCCATTTCATCTTGTAGCTAAGCATGCACATTATAATACATGCACAGTATCCCTACTTCAATGAACCAGAAACAGTGTTCTCGTTCGGAAGAGCGATCCTATAAACCACATCCATCCATCAACATAACAGTAAGTACAGTCACCTTCGCTAATAACGACTGCGGATATAACGACAATTCGCGAATAACGACAGAATTTCCATGCCCAGAGCAAAGTCCCATCCCAGTGTAATACATATAATGAGACTTCGGGTATAACGACACTTCACGAATAAGGACACCTTTTTGATGTCCTGCCGAGTGTCGTTATAAGCGAAGTTGACTATATTGAGTGTCGGTTCCTGTACTGGTCCATGCACCGAGCAGAATAATAAGTGATCCAGTGTTCATTATATAATTCCTTTGTTTGTTGAGGGAATGGAAAGGGGCCAGTCCGACGAAAAAAATCAGGGCTGCAACGGGTAGGGGTTTGGTCGGGTAGCGGGCTCGGGTATTTTTGTCAAGTCGACGGAATAGCGCGAGCTCCAGTGTGGGGAGCAAACCCTTTCGTAATAATTATCGCCAAAGTCGCAACCATTATTTCTAGGGCTCAAACGGTTAGTCCGATTAACTGGTTGCAGACCGGTTACGAAGAATTAACGGTTAACCGATAAAGATAACGGTTACGCAGTAACTTTTCAGTCAATTTTTCATGTATCAGGTCGTTGCAAAGTATGCACTTTCGCAGCCTGTCGCACGCGTACGCAATTTCTGGGCTGTCAACTCGGTCATATCTGGTCTCTTCGTGTGAGAGTATGTATGAATGAGCATGCAAGAGAATGTACATGTGTGCGTTGTACTGAATAGGGTACATTTTTTGAATGAGTATAGTCAAATAAACGGTTAAAAAAGAGTCCGCAGGATTGCCATGACTTATAGGTTATAACCGTTAAACCGACCATTATTTCTAGGGCTCAAACGGTTAGTCCGATTAACTGGTTGCAGACCGGTTACGAAGAATTAACGGTTAACCGATAAAGATAACGGTTACGCAGTAACTTTTCAGTCAATTTTTCATGTATCAGGTCGTTGCAAAGTATGCACTTTCGCAGCCTGTCGCACGCGTACGCAATTTCTGGGCTGTCAACTCGGTCATATCTGGTCTCTTCGTGTGAGAGTATGTATGAATGAGCATGCAAGAGAATGTACATGTGTGCGTTGTACTGAATAGGGTACATTTTTTGAATGAGTATAGTCAAATAAACGGTTAAAAAAGAGTCCGCAGGATTGCCATGGCTTATAGGTTATAACCGTTAAACCGACCGTTAGCTTAGCAGTTAACCACTCGGGGTAAAACCGTGACCGTTTGAGCCCTAATTATTTCGTACTACTATTATAGGATTTCAATAGAAACAGTTGCAAAATCCTTTAGATGAGCATGTCACAACAAAGCGTTCTGACATGCACATCCTCAAAAATAGTCATGATCGGCTCCTCATCAAATGTCAAAATAAGCAATGATGAATGGCTGAAAGACGACATTCACGAGCTAGGTAACGTGTCACAGAGCTCAGAAATGTATAAATTCAGGGGTATAGTACCAATCAATCTGCCAGAGCTGCGGTAGAAAGATGTGGGATAGGCCAAAAATTGACCAAAAAAGTCTATCCAATTCCAGCATACCTGCCTGCACATCATCACATCAAGAGCCATTTGGCTCGTAGGTGACCTCTTTTTGGCCTCCTTGATGATTACTGATCCTCTTCTTCAATCTTCTTCACTTCCTCTTTGACTTTTCCGTCACTTCCCTCAAGTTCCCAGCTCTTCCTGGTTGTATGTCAATGGTGTTGTGAGGTGCAGCGCAGAAACGCGATGCTATCTGGTTTCAATGTTCAGCCGGATTCTACATTTATTCTCCAAGAGCGTGTTCAATCATGAGCATTATAGGTGAAGCCAAGTCGGAAACCCAGCCTTCCCTGGTGGCCCACTCTCCAAGGATAGGGCAATAAACGTACTATCAGATGTATGATGCATATGCAGGGCGCAGTCATGTTGACTCCATCATACGTGACGATGATGCCACGCGGTTCAGTGCAGCACGGCCACGTCCGTACATTGCCTCGGGCTCAGGCCCGGCGTAGCGTTTCATATGTCTGCTACTGAAATGATCTTGGAAAACATGATCACAGGTTTAAAAGAATCACGTAGCCACCACAGGTCTTCGTATAAATAGGCCGTTGGACATTGACAACTGTGCAAAGCTTCAATAGCGGCCCGGGTGATGAATTCTGCCCATACTAATACAGGCCTGTTGATTTCCCATTTGCAAATGAATTTCTCAGACGTGAATGGACGTCTTCTCACCACACATAGTGAAATACCAAGGCAAATATCACGCTTGGCCTGGTCGCTGATTACGATGGGATGTGGACTGGTACAGCTGACAGCATGCTGATTCGATCACAAATTGCAGAAATTACTCATTATTTTACAAACGAAATCCAGTCATCTATCTCCCACTCAATGTCTGACGCCGAAAAAAGAGAGAGAGAGACTGAGAGTACGTAGAACTAGTGTTGACATCACTTTAGTACTTACTCAAGTCACATCAAAATCCTTATCAGCGGGCTCCAGGCTGTGGAACGCCTCCAGTGGGTCTGAATGTTCGACAACGTCAACCATTACTTCTTCAAAGAATCGTCATCTACTGTTTACTGAGTGGTGTGCGGCCAGTCGCCAAGTACTCGTACCAGTGCGAGTACTGATTACGATGATGCCGTTCACAAGGGAGTAGTAAAATACCTACTCCGCGCCCAGCTCACAATCGATCGATTTGGTTTCTTTTTTTTGTTGCGGGATCGATCGATTTTGCGCGATCGATCGATCGTTGCGCGATCTGTCGATCGACAGATCGCGCAGCAAAATCGATCGATGTGGCAGATCCACAGATGGCGCACAACAGATCGATCCGTGCGCGATCTGTCGATCGACAGATCGCGCAAGAAAATCGATCGATTTTCCAGATCGACAGAATGGCGCACAACATATAGACGCGTAGACCCAGGTGCTCGAAGTCCGTACATGGTATCCTAAGTTCGTACGCCCATAATTTCATGTTCTGTTTGGCTGTATTCGACTCAAATATTTTATGGAGGGGACAGTGTGGTATGTTCTCCTCGCCGCACGGTACCAATTTTAGGGATCTACGATAAGCAGAAGTCCCATACCACGCGAGTGGGTTTTCGAGTGTCCATACGAAATCAAATTGGGTTACATTTCATGCAAAAATCAACTTTGCCAAGACCGATTTCGAACGGACACAGCGTCAAACGGACCTTCACTCAATCATCAAGAGCCAGCTTAGAGCTGACAATGGCCAGAGGAGAAGAATTTACAGAGAACCACCAATCCTGGATCTGCAATGATCGATTGGTCGATCGACGTAACCGTCGGAGATCATCATGAACAATGGACTGACTAATTATTCACTTGTCCTGTCTTTATAAATAACATGTTATTGCATAATGTTCTTGGTTTAGTTTTTGGCCTTTTTCGTGCTTTGGAGTTGATAACATTTTCCTCAAAAAACTGCAGTGCAGTGCAGTGAGTGGTACGACTGCTGCCTTGTGCTGGTAGTAGAGTCTAAAAAAATAAAAAATAAAAATTGGTCGAATCCGGATCCAGATCCTTCGGATTTGGATCCGAGCAACCCTGCCCCAGGAGCAGGGTTGACTGGATCCATCGGATCCAAATGTGACCTTTGTGCGTATATGGTGGGTAAAAATCATTTTTATACTCATTGTCGTACGTCTAGTGGACTTTTGTTGACTTTTCGTACGACGCGGGCGATCAGTACGACTTGTGCCTTTTTTGGGTGACCTGTCAGCGCCATTTTTTACTTCGTCAACATGGCAACAGCCAAGGTCCGCAAAAAAGTGTTCGGTTGATTCTGAAGGATCCGACGGATCTGAGATTTGGATCTGGATCTGGATCCGACCAAACGATCATAGGCTAAAACAGCTTGCATTTCGGCAACAAACTACGCTTTTGCAAGAAATACTGGTGGAGGCACATGCCAAACATATCCCTTCGGTGCTTTCGTCGTAATCGAGGGATTGCAAGTTAGCAATTAGCAGAAATATGTGTGTATTTCGAGTCACCTCTGATCAGTACGGACTTAGAGTACCCTCTGCGACACCAAAATTTGATATGAAAAATCAGCGAACTCCAGAGAAACAGATCGGATCGAAAGATGGCCTGGTTCAATCGAGCCTGGCCTCAGAACAAACTTGGACAAGATACCTTCCATCCATGAGCAGGATTCTGGCAAGTGATCATTGCTAGTGTGAGTTTCAGCTCGGCAAACACACACTGTAAAAGTGTACGGACTTCGAGCACCTGGGTCTACCTAGGCAAAAACCGTTATGCCAGCATCTATACCACATAAAATCTGTGATCACTTTGTGCATAAATTTTTCCAAATTGGGCGTCTGTTATCCAATCCTTTAGAAACTATATGAGAGTAATTGTGGAGCGATCCTGAGCAATATTCCGAAAACTATTCTCAAAAAGTTCCAACCAAATTTGAAATATTTCAAAAACCCTACGCGTCTATAGTTTTGAAATGCACTGTAGTATATAACAAATATTAGTTAGTACAACCAAGAGTACATGTGTAGAGTGGTAGCAGCAGCAGCAGCAGACCCAGAAATGCAAAACACAACAATCAACCAGAAAAGAGGTGTCTACTGAGAATAGAGAAGTCTGCATAGCCTCATGCTGACCGGCTCAAACAGGTAATGGACAAGAATGGTGGCATCAGACAATAGCACTGTAAACCAGAATGTTGATGACCCTGACCTTCCAAGGGCCGCGCACAGGAGTGAGAAAGAGAGGAGATCATCCGAACCACTCACGATTCCACTGGTTTTTGATAATTATGCTACAATACGTGTGGGAGCAACAGAGCAATTTCCATGGAAATGATAATATAAAACTTTCTTTTAAAATTTATTTCCAGACGTGGTGAGAAATTGACTATTCCGCACTATAGTCTAATTATGGTTACAGCATGAGCGGTATTATAAAGACGCAGTGAAGCCCTTTACTTGTGACTAGTGGATGGCAGGCGAAGGCAGCGCATTTTAAATTAAACAAATTACATTATACTCATGGCAAGCAGCGTGGAAAGCAGCTGCTCTGGTGTCTTCCCAATCTCTGGCCTTGGCTGGCAAACAGACGAGCCTGCGCCGCATAATAGGCGGGTGTTGAATTAATTTAATTAAAAGGTCACAGTGCTGGCATTATGGTAAGCATCAATTCCTGCTTCCAGCGCTATCCTATATTTATCTGTACTGCACGGATTGGTCTGAGGGCAGTGGCTGGCATGATTCTGATACTCCTGCCACCGCACACTCTGACCAGTGTCCGGGTGTCAGTGTTCTGTGGCACAGTGCTTACACATCCGCCTTCTTGCCCTTCTTCTTACGCAGACTCATCTTGCTGACAATGCGATGCTCGGCCTGCTTGATCAGTGACGTGTTCTCAGTCTTCTCAAGGTTCGTGGTCAGGGCGTACGGGTCTTCGCGCTCGATGGCTTCAGCCGCCGTTATTCCCGGCTCCGTCTTCTGCGCGGCGCTGATGAAGACGGATCTTGCGGCTGCCGTGGGAATAATACAATGCAGGTCGTCATCATCCTCCAAGTCTTCGTCCATCATGTCGATAGACTCACGTTGCTCCTTCTGTCCTTTCTTGCCCGTCTTGTCCTTGGGCTGGGCTGCAACCACGTCGTCGTAGCCCGCAGTCCAGAAGCGATCACTCCTGGCCTTCTTCTCCGCGGAAGGAGCGGCGATATTCGCAGCACTCTCGTATCCCGCCAACCGTGCATTCCCAGGAAGAGAGGCACCAGCAGCAATTGGGAAGGTTAGAGTGTCATCGTACGCGTCGGCCGCGTCACCACTGCTGGCTGGAACGAAGGACGGTACGCCATTATTTGGCATACCATACTCAAAGCCGTTGTCTTCGCTGCTGGCACGCCTCCCCAGTAGTCCACGGCCGAAGACATCGGCGGCTGACTCCGATTTGCGAATCTCAGCCTTCTGCGCATTGGGCATGAAGCGTTTCAACATATCGGCCGGGAACATCTCATAATCACCCTCCTCTTTGTTCTCATTATCAGCATTGGATCCCGGCTGGCGGAGACGATCCTCACTGAATACATCGTACCGCTCTACCAGAATGTCGTCAACAATGCTGTCTACTGAAGCAGCCGTAGCAATGCTGGGCTTGCTAGATATGTCATTGAATGACTTTACTCGTCGCACCTGCTTACGCTCCGACTTCCTCAGATGAGCGATTCTCTTGTTGGTGAAGTGGCTTCCAGCGTCTGCCTCCTCCGCCATGTTGCCATGCAGGTCAACGTCATTAACGGTGTCATTGAACGTAAACATAGCGTGGTCGGACCGGCCTAGGCCACCGTCGGGACCCATGGCATTGTACTCGCTACTGTCACTGTCACTACCCGCCATGGCACTGTGTGAGACTGGCGCCACCTTATGACTGCCACCCCCGCCTCCGTTCTTGCGCGAAGAGATCACACGCTTGAACTGCTGGAGCTTGGACCGGTCCTCCACCGTAGGTGCGTCCGTGTTTGGGAACAGAATGTAGTCATCACCTCCCTCGTCATAGTCAGCTTGCCATTCACGAAGGTCCTTCTGTGCGGGCTGCTTGGGGCCCTTACCTTTTCGCTTGCCAAGGATTAAACGCTTTGACTTGGAATCTCGCGAGATATCTTTACCAGCTGCGGACCCTCCTTGCCAACGTTCCTCCGTCAGGTCAGCCAGGACTTCATCAAGTACCTGGAGTGTCTCGCCGTTTGCCTCTGGTAGACCTCCATCGTCCCTGGTGATGTGACCGTTTTCTCCTAGCTCGTGCCAGAGGCCAGCCTCTTCGTAAGTAACGCTGGGACGGCCATTATTTTGCCGATCGTTCTGGTAATGTGCCGCTTGAGTTCTGTCAAAGCTTTGCCGCTGCGGCTGTTGTTGATCGACTGCCGTGTTGTCAGCATCCAGATCAGTAGGCTTTGAAGTGGGAGGATTCCACACGAGTGGCTCGTTGCTGGTATTGTTTTTATCCTCATTGCCAGTAGTGGTCTGCTTTGTTGGCATGTTGCTGTTTCTGTTGTTGTTGCTGCTGCTGTTGTTGTTGGTGTTGGCATCGGTATTGTTAGCTACTGCTGTTGGCTTGGGATCCATTCCCCAGATCAGTGGTGCTTCCAGGATTGAGCTAGGTTGTACGCTCGAGCTGGTGTTGCCATCGCTTGTCCTGCTTTGTTTGTCGTGCTGCCCGTCAGTGCCTGTTTGAGCAGTGGAAGAAGCAGCAGCGGCAGTGATCGAGTGAGTGGGCGTGCGTATGTGCACATAGCGATTCGAATCAGTGGAGCTCATTCCATGCGTGGCGGGAGCAGAGTTGGCATCGTTCTCCAGGGCGGACAGCGGTCGTCCTGGCAATACGGATCTTTTCGGATTCCGTGCCCCAGTGTTCTGCTGTTGCTGCTCAGCTGTTGCTGCTGTTGCTGCTGCTGCGGCGGCGGTGGCGGTGGAGGGCATGACGGGTTGCAGAGCACCGTTTGGCCCTGGAGCAAACTGAACGTACTCGTCAGGAGACTGGATAAGAGTACTGTCACCTGGTAGATCTTGGTTACGCTTTTTACGTAGTCTACTGGCTAGTGGGTTGGCATTCGAGTAGGGAGAGTCTGGATCGGATGCAGACACTGTATGATCGTACGGGTCACTGTAGGGTTTCTCGTTGTCGCTCATGCCGACAAAGTCTGCACCATGGCTCATGAAATCCTCTACCTGGGTACCAGGAGGTGGCTGGCGAGCGCCTGGTAACAAGGCGAGGCGGCTGTGAGCAGACGGGTTGGAGCGACACTGGTTCCTTGGATTGGACGGCCAATCCGGGCCTTGTGAGGACTTTGGCGCCTGGAAGTCTAAATAGTTGTTCTTCACGCTCGTGTACACATACTCTTCGCCGTCACTGCCGAATGCAGGCACGGAGTCGGCGTCTAGTCCACGATCGTCTCCCGCATTGGTGTAGTGTGGGTTGGGAATACGCTTCTTGTGCACACAGGCATAGGCACCCTCATTGATCTCCTTCCGCGTGTCCGGATCGGCAAAGCAGTCCTGGCAGAGCCAGGTTTGTGACAGTTCATCGTAGAGTGCGTCGAGACGATCACAACCAAACGCCGTGCTGTATGTGTTGCTGTCAGTGAGAGATGGCTGAGGACTCATGGAGCCACCAGTGTGTGGACGCTGGAAGAGATCGTAGTCCGCAATGTCCGTGCTGGACTCTCTGGGGTCGGCACCGTGGAGCATATCAAGGACATCGCCATAGTCCGAGTACTCTTCCGCTTCAAAACCTGTTACCGGGTCATATTCCTCCATAGTAGAGAGTGTGTCCGAACGCATTCCATCCATGCCCAGACTAAACCGCCCCTCCCCCTCATTGCCCAGGGCAGTAGCTACATCTCGGTCATCATCAACGGCATCCTCAGTGGTGCTTGTGTTGTTGTTGCTGCCGGATCGCATCATGTTAAGGAAGGCAGCTGCCTTGCGCAGTGTATTCTGGTCCTTCTTGCGAGGCTTACTCTTGTTTCCTTGGCTGCTGGCGCCGGTGGGCCTGGAGGCCAGTCCATTTCCATCGCGTGCATCAGCAGTTGGGTCGGCCTCCACATCGCCCAGATCCAACTCGGATGAGCAGCTTGGAGTCCGCTGAGTGAGGCGAGGACTGGCGTTCTCGTCCCAGTTGGCTGCGTATCTTGCCAATTTGTGACCGGTACGGTTTTCAGGAGACTGACTGCTCACTGACGAGCTCTCTCCGTCATCGATTGCAGTTCTACACTCATCAGTAGCGTCCAGGTCAGTGTCTGCCATTGAGTTGGGGTCGGGGCTGCCAAACAGGTCGTTCATTTCGTGTCGCATGCCGTCATCAAAGTACTCATTCTCCCAATCCGTCTTGTCGCTGTGAAGAGTGAGTGTACAGGCAAAGAGCAGACAAAACATCAGATCAACCAATTACACACAGGTAGACAGCGGCCTAGGCGTGCTCTGTACAATTCATTGTATAATAATGATAAGAAGAAGAAGAATCTTATAGAAAAGAAACAGGACCAAGGAACTAGAAGAATATGTACGTGGTTGCCGACGACGACGACGTGCTTTAAAACAAAATGCATCGAAATGAACATTACATCCAGGGTGTCTTACGCTGAACAATTTCCCCGTACTTACACACACACACACACACACACACACACACACACACACACACACACACACACACACACACACACATGCACTCGAGTGCCTCAGACCTCAGACCTGCCCATCTCAGAAGCGATGATTGCGATAGACATAGCAACTTGTGCTGGGATTACACCATTCAACAGCTTGCAAGGCTGATGAATTGACCACCACTA